ATTTTCTCCTGCTGCACCAGAGTTCATACGCACATGAAAAGCTGTTCAGCGTCACCAGTCATCAGGGAAGTGCGACGAGGACAAGGACAGAAGTGTGCCAACCGAGAGGGGCACACGCTGGCTCCTCTGGGCATGTGAACTGGTGCAGCGACAACCAGAGGTGGCTGTTCGGCTCGGCATTGACTAGCTTACAGTCAGCAAGTTCCGCTTCTGCAGACACCCAAAGAACTAAAAGTGAAAACTGGAACACATTATTGGACACCCGTGTTCGCAGTTATCTGACAGTAAACAAATGTTTAACTGGAAATGACCCAAATGTTTATTGATCGATGAGTTTGTGCCCCGACCGGGGCGCAGCCCCACAGGGCAGGGCAGACCTCGCCTGGATTTCAGTGGATCCGCCCGTTCTGCTCGGCACTCTGTCTCTGGTGAATCCACTCATGCCCGGCATCTCTGGCCTACACCCCAGTTCTTGTGTGCATAAACAAAAGAAAACTTTTAAAAAAAAATAAGAAGGATAGCTATATCATGCAGACACTACCCAAGCTCAACAGTAAGGTCCTCAAGGCTACTTTCAGCCAGTCATCTAGGAGAACTTCTTGGAAGAAGTGACGCTGGAGCTGTGCTTTAAAGGCTCTGAGACAACGAAGACCAGAAAAGCCCATAGGGGCAAGGTCAGAATGGGGCTGGGGTGGGATCATGAGTGGTGTAAAGGTTCATTTTCACACTGGGGGATAAGTGGGGTTTGGCAGGAGGTGGCTGTTAGAGAAGCATCAATAGTTTGGGGAGCAATGAGGTGTTTCCTATCAGAAAGGCAAAGGAATTCTAAGTCAAAGAGACAAGGCCGTCTCAAGATTAAATCTGAGCTTCCAGAGTACCCACAATGGAGAAAGAGTCAGCAGCAGCGACATTGGAAGCAAAGCGGCCTGCTGGGGTGACTTAGGCAAGAAACGGAGACAGACCAGCACCTGTTACTGCCCGAGCTACGTCTGACGTGCAGACAGGTGATCCATGTGGATGGCCCAGCCTCCCATTGCTCCCCAGGAGGCCCCACTTTGTCTCCTTTCTAGCCCAACTCCTCTTGGGGTCCCCCAGATAGTAGAGTATGTCAGCTAAGGATCTGGGCTTTGGGGTGATCACCCCAATTACACTCCTACCCAAAGCACTCAACTTCCCCCAAGTCACCCCACCTCCCCACCTGTCTCTGGGTCTACCTGACTTCCTGCTTTGGTCAAATGGTAAGTGCAGAAATCCTATTCCATTTTTCACACACACTCCGATGGAGATAAGTGACACCCCCTTACCCCCCACCCCCAGTACTCCCCACTAGGGGAGTTAGGGTCACCTGTGCTTCTCCAGGAGGAGGGCGGGGCCCCTGGAGGAGGGCTGTGTGGCCCTCTCGCGCGCGCCTTGATTAACGGGGTTTCCTACTCAAATCTCACTTAGCAGTCTCCCTGACCTCTGTGTGGAATGACTGGGGCCGCCCTTCAGGCCTGGATCTCCCTGCTCCTCCCTCATGCCCTGCTGTCCTTGGACAGGTATCTCCTTTGGAAGCATCACCACTGTCTTCCTCCAAAAACACAGTTCGGGAACATCCTACTACCTGGAAGAGTACAAAGGCAAGAGACGGACGGGGCTTGGACGAGACTGCCGTGGAAGTGCGCAAAGCGCCCCAGGTGAAGCCCTGCATTTCTGGAGGGCCCCCTGTGCCCCACAGACACTCGCCTCCAGGCGAGCATCGCGCTGACCACCACCGAGGTCACTCTGCCTGTCATCTGCCCAAACCCCTGCACCCCTTTGGTGTTCGGCTCCTCTTGCTCAGCGTCTGCACCGCTGATGCCCGCAGGGCCAGGGCCTGTGCTTGCTCACTGCTGACCCACCGTCGGCTTTCCTCATTTACCGGCTCTTGCTGACGGGCACCTGGTGGTGCCAGCTGGCAGCTGAGAGCCGCGTCGACTGGATGGGCGTGTGCCCTCGTCCCCTGGGGGGAGACCTGTGTGTGAGGGGAGACCCACAGGGGGCTGCTGGCCGTGCGTGACACTCATCTAGCAGCTGCTGACGCATTGCCGGGTGGCTGCAGCACCAGCGGAGTTCGGGCATCACCACCTCTCGGGCACCAGTGGCACGAGGCCTTCTGACCCCGAGCGCCCTGGAGCGGGGCGGGCACGCGGTCCTCTGCTGAGGTGCTCCTGGGCGAAACCTTAGGCGCGGCACTCCACGTGCCTGTTACGCTGAGGCTCGCGGGAGGACCAGGCAGGGCTCGGCCGAGGCCCAAGGCCGCCCAGTAGTAAGAAGAAAGCTCTGCAGAGGGCACTGGCAGGCTGCCCCGCCTGGGCCTTCCCCAGGCCAGGCCACTGTCTCCCTCTCCCGGGGCATCCAGAGGCCGGGGCATCTCCCTGGGGCCTCTGACACCTGGAGGAGGGGGATGGGCCCTTCCCAGTGGCCAGCGGGGACCCGAGGAGAAACTGGCTGGCCAGTCCCTGTGTTGGCTAAAGAAGCTCTCCCAGCCTCCCTTGGTCAGGACGGTGCCGGCTCCAGAGGGAGAAGGGGGCGGCGCCACTGCCAGAGCTGCCCCGGAAAACCGCCCAGGCTGAGCATTCCCTTCCCCGGGGCCCTGAAAGTCACCTCGAAAGGGACAAAAATAAAAATCAAAAGCAACGATGCAGGACGTCACGGGGACAGGGGGCCGCGGTTGGATCAAGCTGGCCCCTAAGTCAGCCGGCCGTGGAGAGGGGCCGCCCGCTGCTGACCGCAACATGGCGCGAGACTTGCCCTGCGCCTGTGCTGGGTGTCACATCGGCCTGGGCCCCGAGACCAGACGCAGCAAGTGACAGCACATGGCGCCGAGTCCACCAGCCCGGTGGGGTGTGCGGCCGCGCGGCTCGCGTCAGGCACAGCACGGGCTGGGCTGGCTCCACCATGCCAGGGAGAGCGCGAGACGCCGAGAGCTGCGAACCGGCTCCAGGCGGCCCAGCGGAAGAGCGTTCGGCCGCCGCCTGGCTCCGAGCTCCTCGCCAGCGCTGTGCCAGGCCGAGGCCCCAGAGCGGGGCCCCTGAGCCCTGGCCTGGTGAAGGCAGGCTGCTCAGGGCACTCTGGGCTCCTGGCCTTGCCCGGGGTCACCCGGCCTGCTGCTCTGACCCTCAGTAGGGAATCGCACAGCGGCAGCAGGAGCCCGGGGATCCCTTCCTCTCCCACCCCCTCCTCACACAAGCGTCACGTGCTCTCAGCTCGGGAGACCCCAAGTGTCCACCTCTTCTGGGACTGTTCCTGGAGAAGACCTCTCCCCTCCCGGGTCCCTCAGTCAGTCACGGCTCTTCTGTCACAAGTGACAGAGCCACACTGGCCTGGGGAGACGCAGTTGACAGGTTCTCAGGAGGTTTCTTCCCTGAGGAGTCCAGGGAAGACAGGGTTAGGCAAAACGACGTCGCCAGTCTGCCCCTGAGTCCTGGTCTGTTCTGCTCTGCCCCCCAGGATGGGAAGCCCCTGCTGTGCCCAGCCCACATTGTACCCCTTTGCTAGCACAGTGAGGCCAAGGCCATCCTTACCCAGACTAGAGAGGGTTCTAGGCTGCTGCTGCGCCACAAGGAAGCCAGTGACCTTGTCAAACCTTTCCCCAAGAGTCCCCCCTCTCAGTCCCAGGTGTCACCCACCACCTGCAGTCATCACTGCCACCTGGACGTGTGTGGAGCTGTGACCAGCCAGGCTGACAAGCTGGTCCTGTCCCTCAGCCCCAAGGAGCAAGGTCAGCTGCCCATGCCAGATTCAGAGAAGAGGTGGTTCCCCAAAAGAAAAGCGGCAGGGGAGGGGTAACATATACAGAAGAGGCGCAGGAAGAAGCAGACTGGACCCACACTGTGACTCTGGCTGCTCTGGGCCTGCCAACACCCCCACCCACCTTGCATCCCACAGAAGTGTCAGGCACGGTCAGGTAAAAACCCAACACTCAATCCCCCACAAAGTCACCACTCCCCCCTTTTCAGGTTGGACTGGGCCTGGGGCACCCCCTTCTCAGCCCTCCAATTCTTCCCCTTCCAGTCTCTTCAGCCCCTGCCCAAGTACCAGTCTGCATTTCTACCACCCTAAAAAAACCAACGCTCCGTGCCGCTCAGCCACAGGCCTCAACTCCACTCCACGGCGCCGGCGTCACTTCCTCGTCCTTGATTCTTACCAAGCTGCGAGAGCCGCCTGGGAAGCTTCCCTCAGCCTGCGAAGTACGGTGCATTCCACTGTGGCCTCTCCTCCCAGATATTTCTGGGTTTGCGCCAGCAGAGGCTCCTGGAAGCCCTGGGCTGGGGGCCCGGGCTCTGTGCTCTTCTGCCCCCTGTGAGACTCCCCAGGCCCTCCTCTCCCGCTTCCGGCTACCCTCGAGGCCCACACGCCCACACTCGAGTCAACCCACGCGCCATCTCAGCTGTCTCGGAAGCACCAAATCCATCACAGCAACGTGGGCTCCTGCTCGTCCTGCTTCCTCCCGCGCTCCCCCAGCTGGAATAGGGTCCCCGCCCCGCCCTAAACACTGCAGAGTGGAAGTCCTTGAGGACCGTCGCCCCCAGGCCACGTCCAGTCGGCCGGTGAGCAGAGTGGAGTGTGCAGGCCCCACGCGCGCCCTGCCCAGCAGCTGCGCTCCGGGCTCGGCAGCTCTGAGAGCGGCTCAGAAAAGGGAGCAGAGGGACGGCCACCGCCCTGCTCAGTCGGCCCTCAGCATCCACCGCCCCCCTCCACTCAGCTGCCGTTGCCCACCCTGGCGCCTCTCCGCACCTGGCATGAGCTCTCGTGTTCCTGGGGCCAGTCCCCTGTCCCTTCGTGGCGCCAGAGTGGGCGGAAGGGTCTCCTCTGACATGAGGTGAGGAACCACCAGGCTCACCCAGCACCACCAGAAAAGCTGTCTCCACAGCCAGGCCCGCCCGCCTCCTCCCCTAGTGCCCGCGGCCCGCCCACCACAGGCTGGCCCCAGCCCCTGCAGGAAGTCAGCTGGATAGAGGGGAAGCTGGCCACGAAGCCCTGGCAAGAAGCTGGGACAGACACTGGCTTTCCCTTATTCCTTTTTTTTTTAATAAATTTAAGAACAACTCTACCTTCTCTCCTCCCCCCAGAGCAACTAAAACCAACTAAAAGGGGGTGTGGCCTGGGGGGCAGAGGGCGCTAGGAATCATAGTCCTCTTCGTCCTCTGCATCTGGGGCCGAGAGGCCTGGGGGTGGTGGGGGCAGAGGCAGCGTCGAGGTGAAAGGCATGAAGGGTGTCGGGGGGCTGCAAGGCAGAAAGCAGGAGAGGAAGATCAGGCCCTTCCCAGCAGCCCACTCCTGCGCCCTGAGCCCCAGCCCATCCCCACACAGACAGCCACGGGGCCCACCACCCTACAGCATCCGGGGCCAAGCCCAGAGCCGGTCACACAACCACGGTCCAGGCCCAGCTACCGTCCTGCCCAGGGACGTCTCCTGCCTTTGGCCCTCCTGGTTCTCTCTGCCAGGGCCAACAGAACCGTGGCCAGAGACCTGGAGGGGCCAGTCAGGCTCAGGGGCTCTGCCAGCTCCCCCCAGCGCCGATGAGCTGCTTACCTGGGAAAGGGCGCAGGGGGGCGGCTGGCCTGGGGCGGGGCCTGGGGCGTCTCCTCCTCTCCCTCGGTGTCTGTGTCCTCGGACTCATCCTGAGGCAGGGGACACGAGAAAGGCGAGGTATGTCCCCTGTGAGCCCAGACCCCAGGTGGCAGGGACGCTCCCCCTCCGGAGCCCAAAGAAACCAGGCAGACAGAGGTCCCAGGCGAGGTTGCCCTCTCCGCTGGGCACGGGCAGGACAGAGCCCGGGGCTCGCTCACCTCCTGCTCAGAGTCCGTCCCAGACAGCTTCTTGTCCTTGCCTTTGCTTCCCACGCCGCCATTCTTGCGGGCGCTGCTGCCCGGCTTCCGGCCCCTTCGGGAAGGTCCAGTCCATCTGCCCAGAGGTCTCCCCTCTCCCTGGCCACCCCCAGCCCCCCCCAGCCCCGGTGGCCTTGGCCTTCCCCACCTGAGCGCCTGGCCCTGGCTTCCCACCTGCGGGCCCCCTTGTCCCCGTCCATGTGGTTGTCTTCCCCGTCCCCCTGCATGTCAGGCACTGAGGCTACCAGATCCTTCAAGAAGTCGAACTGCTGTTCCAGCTCGATGCACTGCTTCCTGGAAGAGGCGGGGCAGGTGGACACTCAGGAGGGCTCTGGCCCTCTGGCCCTCAGCAACAGACAGCAAGGGGCTCTGAATCCTGGAAAGCCTCCCCCTTTGCAGGAAAGCCCCCCCAGCTCCCCAGTTCCAATTCACCAATCTGAGGCCTCACTGGCGTCCCCTCTCCCTCCACCACCACCACCATGCCACCTCCCTCCCTATCAGGACCCAGCTTCCTGGGCAAGTGTGAAGTCGGGGGACAAGGCCCCAGGCTCTGTCCTAGCTCGGCTCACTCACAGGTGGGATGTGGTCATGGTCTTGGCGTTTCGGGACTGGGTCACCTGGCAAGCCTTCTTCAAAAGTGACTCCAGAAAGAGCTCCAGCGCCCGAGCTGAAGGGGTGTCAAGGAGAATGCGAGTGGGGTGTCCCCAGCCCGCGCGAGGCGACCCCGGCCGCCACCTGCTGGCCCCGTGACCGTCCACTCAGCCGGCCCCCGAGAGGATACAGATGATGACAGGCACGGCCGCCGCCACCTTCCCAATCTCTTCGTCCGTCTGCATGATCTTCTTGATCCGCGCCTAGGGAGGCAGCATGGAGCTCGGACCCCGTCGCCTCCGTCCCACGAAGGGATGCGGGGGCCGGGGGAGCGAAGGGGGAGCCCGGGGAGAAGGTGGCCAGGGGCCACGGACCTGGGGAGGGCGCGGAAGGGGGCGGGGCGTCCGTGCCCCCTAACCCGGCGATGCGCCCGCCCCCCGGCCCGGCCGGGCCCGAGCCTCCGAGAGCCGGGCCCGCTCCTCCCGGCCCGGCCACGTGCTCACCGGCGGGAACCTCGCGTTGTACTTCTTCTTCTTGCTCGGCATCTCGGCGCTTCTCTCGCCGCGCCGGGCCCAGCGCCGCCGCCCGCAGCCACCCGGCCCCGG